GATTCCGGTTCGTTTAAGATTAAAGTCGAGCCGCGTGTCACCGCTCAGCATTAGGCTGTCGGTTTGCTGGAAGTTCTTAGAGTCGACCATTTCTAAGTACCGCCGTCGACGACCTTGCCATCGTTCTCTCTGTAATAAAGTAAACTTGTCGTTGACGCGCGACCGCGCGGTTATAAAAATTATCGCAACTCATGTATCGACGCGAATTGAATAAATTGGAAACTCTTTGTTATTATTAATGTTAATTTCTGCCTGATTATTTCTGTCTGCCTCTACCTCGTTCTCCGACATCTTCCCCGCTTACCACGAACCATCCCCTCTGCCAATTCCGTTGGCTGAGCTAGCTGATCTCGTCCGTCGCAAATTCCGTTGCTCTGTAATTTCTTTGTCCGAGCGTAACATCTTAAAACTTAGTGCGAAGAGTGGCACGCTCTCTCGTGCCTGGCGCCCAACAAAATTTGTACGGCTCGAATATCGCAGCACATAAAATTAGAAGGAAGAACCGCACTTTTGCTATTTATATTATTTTGTCCATCCTTTTGAGCTATCGCGTAAATAGAGCAGCAGATGAAGTGACGAAGTTGTGCCGTTTCTCACAAGTACAGTCACAGTGTATATATATATATATAATTATTATTAATAAAAATTTGATATTATATTGAATAATATTTTATTTTTAATTATAAGATTTAAACCGCGCGCGCGTCATATGTGATGATACACCATGCAACACTGGTCTGCTGGTTAGATATAGATAGATAGAGTGAGATGATAGATTAGATAGAGTGAGATAACACATGAAGTCAAAGGCCCTCTATTATCGAAAAAACGAGATGGATATTTTCTCTGGTTGACGACGTTGTTAATAACGACGTATCTTAAAAATGAAACGTGAAAATTCACAGATCCGGACTTTGCGTCGCGATATCTCCGCTCGTAGGGCACGTAGAAAAAAAATGAAAGCACTTTTATTATACAATTTAAGTATTTCCTGTCGATTGAGCGTATGTAGAACTTGATCGGTTCAGCCGTTACTGAGATCTGATCATCTCGACCCCGAAAAATTCTCAGTTTCGCGTAAAGGAGGCACGGCAGTGTCGCGCGCTTGGCTTAGCGCCGAGACACTACCGTGTCTCCAGATTTATTGTAATATTAAAATTTATAATACAATAATAAAAATAATTACCTCCATTTCCGTTTGATGTTTGCAGATCTTCTTGAAAGTTTTCCTGTGGAAGATTGCAAACATTTATTATTTGTAGAATATCCGCCAATATCATGGAATTTCCATCTATTAATTCATTTTGAAAAGACTATAAATATAGAAAAAAGTATATGTTATATATTAGTCAATTATACTTTTTTATAAAGATAGATATAGATATTATATAATTGCTTGCCTCATAACGTTGATCATTATTGTTAGACAAAACAAATGTTGAAGATGTTTTAATTAGAAATAAATAATTTATATATAATGATTGTAAAATGGATGTACTCATACATATGTTTTACAATTAATCATTATGTAATTATTATATATAGAGTATTCATTATATTAAAACAATTTTATATAGGGTAAACCCGGTATATACGCCGCACCTATCGAAAACTTAATTTATCAATTATTATTTACTATGTTTAAAGCAAGTTAATTATACAAATAAAAACTTTGTATCATCTAAAACAAATAAAATTAAAGTTGAAGGACTCTTTATATGAAAATAATAATTAAAACGAGGTGAAGGACAATGAGAGTCAATTCGTAAGTAAACAAGAAAGCGATTATAACATAAAAATTATAATATGAATTTTCAAAAAAAAAAGAATACAAACAAAATACTTAGCCGCTTCAGACACAATTAAAAATTAGAATATCGGTCAATATATAATAGTATAAAAAATCGCTCGATGTAAAATGTCGTAACAAGTTTCGACTCTTGGTTTGAGTCCTCTTCAGACGTTCAACAAAAATTCCTTATTCCAATATAATTCAGACAACAAATTTCTTACTGACTCCTCGATTTCTCTCTTCGTTACACAACATTGACAATGCAAGATGGCAAAGTCGTATATTGAAACAATGTATCTGTAACTTGGCATGAGAACAAAATCAAAAGATGTGAAAATAATGAAATTCAAAAAACAAAAAAAAAAGAAAAAGTTTAACTCACCAGCGAAAACGATTTGTCAGTTTACAATATGAAAGTTAAATAAAATAGAAGAAGTCATAGAGTAAAATGAACAACAAGGTAATAATACTAAACATTTTCACAAAACTTATTGTATAAAATATGCAAAGTAAAACGAATGCAAGGAAGTGTACTAAATCCTTTAACTGTCTTGCAAGTACTGTGATATAACAACAACAAAGCAGTGTGTCGATTGTCGATAACAAAAGATCAAACCTTATTTACAATGGGAATATATGAATCGTGAAGACCTTCAGTGTCCGTTTGTAAATTAAGACTATTTTTCTGCTTTTTAATGTTAAACATCTCAGAAATTATTCGCTTTCTATAATTAGGTTCTTCATCTAAAATTTTAACATCTTCCCATTGAAAGTCATGATCATATTGCAATCTGTGATCCGTAATAATTGAACGGTTAGAAGTATTATGTCTAATATGGCTACGGTGTTCATTAATTCTGGTTTTCAGCTGCCTTCCAGTCTGTCCTACATAAGACGCATCACAATCATTACATTGGATTCTATACACCACATTACTCTTGGATGTGTGCGACAGACTATCCTTCTGTACCTTAATGTATTTACCCATCTTATAAGGACTATGGAAAGAAACTTTAATTTCATTATTGTTAAAACGTTTGAATTTTTCAGTATGGAAAGGTATGAAAGGTACCGTAAGTCAAGAAACAGCTTTTTTATTCTCCAATTCATTAGCCTTTTCAACATGAGAAATTTGTCTATTTCTTTGCAAAAGTTTTATTCGTTGGTTGATTGTATCAAAAATAAATGAGAGTGGGTAGTCATTATCAAGTAAAATATTAATTATAAGTATTAAATTCTTTTCATGGAATACTACGTCAGAAAGTAAAAAAGCTCTATCAACCAACGAATAAATTACGCCTCTTTTTTTGAGAAATTGGATGGTTAGACAGAAAATTAAGAAATCTACCTGAGAATGTGGGCTTACCGTACCAATCAAACCTGAATCTGTTATTAATTATTGTTATTGTGGTGTCTAGAAATTCCAATTTATCACCTCCAATTTCACATGTAAATTGGAGACGTGGATGGAATGCATTGAAAACCAGAAGTAATGTGTCAATTTTTTCAGAATCAACCATAGTACAAATATCGTCTACATATCTGAAATAAAAGAGGGTGTCAATATTACAAGACGACAGAGACAAAGACTCCAATCTATTCATCACAAGATCAGCAATAATAGGAGATAAAGGAGAGCCCATGGGAGTGCCAAAACATTGCTTGTAAATCTTATTGTCAAACATAAAATATGTTGAATCCAGAATAAATTTAACGGCCTCTAAAAATTCATTTTTTGATAAAGAACAGCCTCTAGAGATAAAGCTCCATTTTTCATTAACACAGTCAATGGCTATGTCTATGGGAATATTTGTAAAAAGTGATATAACATCTAACGATATAAGTTTATAATTATCTTTTACTGCAATATTATTTATTTTATCTATTAATTGAAAACTGTTCTTGATGTAGCTGTCTGTCTTTGGAATCGTTAAGTATAAAATATTATGTAAAAAGGTAGCCAAAGAGTGTAATGGAGTGCCTATCGAAGAGACAATAATCCTGAGAGGACAATTAGGTTTGTGAATCTTTGACAACCCATAAACTCTCGGAAGGACTCCATCGCTACAATACAAAAATCTATATTCAGAGTTGTCAATAAAACTCTTCGATTTCCACCTAGTGAGCATTATCCTTAGAGCTGACGTAAGTTTCTTAGTAGGATCTCTGTTAACAGTTATACAGGGTGTCCCATTTTAATCGATGGATCCAAATATCTCCTAAAATATGCCAGCTATAAAAAAATGTTTCAAATAAAAATGGAATGGTGTCGAGGGGGACACATTTTAGTCATATTGTTTTTTTTCTAAGTGGAGGCGCTAAAAAGATATGAAGGTTACCTCCACTTTTTTAAATGGAATTATGTAATTTTTTTTAGATAACGTGATTCCTCTAACTATTTTGCATATGAAAGTATTAAGGTAGAGATACCAAAAAACCAATAGTTTTCGAGATATTTTACACTTTATTTTGGTACATTTTTACACAAAATGTTAAATAACTCGTAAACTGTTGACTTTTTGATTATCGTACCTTAATACTTTTGTGAATAGAATAATGAGATAAATCAAATGGTGTAAAGAAAACACATAGTTGCGTATTTAAAAAATTATCCATTTTGCATACATATTTTTTTTAAAGCAACTATGTGTTTTCTTTATACCATTTGATTTATCTTATTATTCTATTTACAAAAGTATTAAGGTACGATAAAATGTAAAATTCAAGAATTTTACAACAGTTGCAAAGTCGCTTTCTCTGCTGAACGCAGCCAATGAATCATTATGATGACTGAAAGCTACACTAACAGAAATGGATATTTACAAAGATCTATGGCAGTCCAAAGATCCTTATTTTCGTTACAGTTTACCATAGATCTTTGTAAATTTTGAGATATTATATTAATAAAATGGACTGAAATTTGTACTTTATAGATCTATATTTTTTATTTATTTTATTACACACTATACTATTTTATTACACACTATACTTTTATTACACACTGTATTTTACATACACACTATAAAATAGTATAGTAGGAACAACGGCATCTGCAACAGAGACAAGAATATATATAATGTTACATAAAGCTGGCGTTTTATGAACAATTTTCCATTCAAATATCTATCTTGAAATGAAAATCTTGAAATGTAAATTTGAACTATAGTTTGAAATAACTATACTTACGTTTAGTATTGAATATAGATGTTTATTGTTCCACCTCGACCACGACCTGGACCACCACCTCCACCACGACCTCGACCAGCACCTCGACCACGACCTCGACCACCACTTTGACCTCGAGGACGATACCTGTCGCGATTACGCCCGCCTCTTCTCCATCGTGATGCTGAAACCAGTGTTGCCAGGTCCTAAAAAAATTTAGCGGTAGATCATTCTGTAAAATAGCGGTAGATGGAGCAATTTAGCGGTAGAAATTAAAAATTAAGAAAATGGCGCCGCAAGCAAAAAATTTTTTGAAACGCTTTTTTTCTTTTTTACTGTTTCTTTTTTTAAATAAAAATTGAATTCATAGGTTAAAAAAAAGGAACATGAATAATATTATGTATGCAATAATAAACTTTATTAGCAGTCTCACTGTTATCAGTCTTTCTTAGGGCTGCGCAGAATAAAAGGAACAGAGAACAGAGAATAAGAATTTCAACCTATCAAAAACTGTATTCCATAGTACATGATTTCTAGTAGGTTGAAATTCGTATTCTTTGTTCTCTGTTCCTTTTATTCTGTGCAGCCCCTTATAAATGTTAATTGCTATTAACAAGATAACAAGAAATAAAGTCTTACAATTGATAAAGTCACAAAAACAGGAAATAAATTCTTCTTACAATGAAGTATTATATATAATAAAAAATAAATTCTTATAAGTCAATTGACAGAAACAAAATTTAAATTTTTGTTGCAATCTACAGAATACTTCTTATAATCTATAACAGTATCATCAAATAAATTTAACATAATATAAAATATTGCAAACTAAAACTTAAACTTTCACATAAATATAATAGAATTTTTGACAATACTTATTATTCCAATTAGTTGCTCAGTTCAAGATCAGTTTCGTCACCAGTACCTTTATACATCTCATTATTAATTCGCTTCAGAATATGCTTTTCAATATTTAAATTAAAACATTCCTTATTTTTCAAATAAGTTTTTGTATGTAACAAACCTGTAATTGACTTTGTGCAAAGTCTGTTTCTTTGTTGGGTTTTCATTAAATTTATTTGTGAAAAAATTCTTTCAACATTAGCCGATGAGTGGGGGAGACAAAGTAAGCTGAGCATAAATGGTCCTAATGTACCGAACATAAGATGTTCATCAGAATATTTCAACTCCGAAACGTAACTCCAGAACTCTTCTATAGTAGAATATTTTTCACTCGAAATTTGTGTATTGCATAAAAGCCGCCACTCGTTATCAATCGTTTGAAATTTTTCTTCAGATATCAAATTTGGAAACGCACTACATAAATTAATTATAGATGGCATAGAGCCACTTCTTACAATTTCAGGATCTAGCATCTCTAACGATTTTAAGACAGTGTTACCAAAATCATAACGTTTTCGTATTTGTCTGGCACCTTCTACATAAAAACTTAAACATCTTGTTCGCAAAACATGTAATTGTTGACTGTCAAAGTGTTTATTATATAAAACTGCAAGTATTTTAGCTCCCATATATATTTCTTCTAATGGCAGATAATTTTGTGGATCGTTAACGTTTATTAAAAAAATGGACGTTCGTTGTATTACAGTTCTTTTAATGAAGTACTCCAATAAAGTTTTATAAATCGTACAAATTCTTTTATGCAAATTATGAATTTGCGGACTGGTACTTTGTAATTCCCGGTTTAAGTTGTTAAAAATAGGAAGAACGAACTCTAGAAACATAAGAAACATTTTTGTCAACGGATCTTGAAGTTTCTGTAAAATACTTTTAGCAGTTCCAGCAGAAGTTCGATCGCTACTAACAGACGCATCGATAAAAAAAAGTTTAAGAGCTTCATATTGTTCAAGAATTCGCACCACAACCGATTCAACAGACAACCACCTCGTTTGAGCCGGATGAAGAATTTTATGGATTTTTACATTTGCAAATTTTTGAAACTCTTTGAGGGTTTCAACTCGTTTCGGGCTATTCGAAAAATAGTTATATATTTCTCTAGTTAATTCTTCAACAGAACTAGGTAGCATACTGCAAGCATTTGACGCACACAAATGAAAGCTATGACAAATGCATTTCATCAAAAATATATGCGGAATGTCTGAGACCAACCTACTTGAAAAAGAATTTTTGGTGCCTACCATCACATTTGCTCCATCAGAAGCAAAACCAATTAAATTAGTCTTATACGGTATCTTATTTAAATTAAAGAATGCAGTAACTTTGTCATATAAGTCTTCGGCCGTTGCATCTTTTAAAGGTATTAAACCCAAAAAGCAGTCTATCACTCTGAAAAAAAAAACAATTTTTACTATTCGTCATTGATCAAGTTTCGTTGTCACTCCAGCATCTCCTTAAGTTGTTAATTTATTATCTAAGACGACTCTGTACTTACTTTTTGTCTTGAAAAAATCTTACGACTATACATAAATGTTTTGTACATCCACGATCTGTCGATTCATCCACAATTAATGAAAACTTAACGTTGTTCAATGTTTTACATATTTGTTCTAAATTGTACTGTCCGATAACATTTTGTACGATAGCAGTTACTTTGGTTCTACTACATGCTATGTTTTTTGCTATTTCCGAATCGACACATATTTGTTTTATCAATTGAGGCATGTGTTCCATTATTTTAAATGGCACGTTATGTTCAGCTACAAAAGCAGCAAAATACAGATCAGCCTTTTTGGTTGATAGCTCCATACTATTTAAACTCTGAACTTTAATTAATGAAGTCATCGATGGTTGATATTTACGAACAGAAATAGCCTTAATATGACTAGTTCTAGCTTTATGGCGTTTGAGTTGATTCTTTCCAGCAGATATATTAATGCTTTTATTGCATATTCGACATATAGCTTCATGTATGTTGTTCTTATTAGGACCTAACCACTCTTTATATTCGGCTTCAGTTTCCCAATTTGAATTGTATTTTTGTAAGTATTTCTTTTTCTTGGCCCGTTTGCACCTTACAGCCGATTCATTACTGCTTGATTCTTCATTTTCATCAACCTCACATTCAGTCTCAGAGCTTCAATAAAATAAGAAATAAAAGGTACAGTAAACTTAACCTAATTTTAAAATACATGCATACATCATATTTTACCTATTCATCTTGGATTCTTTCACGTTTTACTTCTTCTCATAAGAACTCTTTCACTAACTTCTGATTAAATCAGACTTTTTTAATTTTTCATTTGCGGGAAACTAAGGCCACTAACGGTTGAACGGTTTTACAGGTTTTCACAAACTCGCGCCTCGCGGCTCTACGCTCTACACAATGAACGACGACATTACACGATATTGGTCATTATGCCTGCGTTCGTAAACCCTAGAGTCTGTAAAACAGTGTTTGATTGACCAATCAGAACAAAAGGAGCAAAGATTTCTTTATCTCGATTGGTTATTTGAAGTTACTATACATTGCAAGTAAAATTTCCGAACGCACTCTGTGGATTTGGCGCACATTAGCGACATTTAAAACTATGAATGCTATGATTATGATTAGTTATGGTCTACGGTTATCAATTGACAACTGATTTTCATAAAGCGGTAGATGATGATTTAAAAACGGTAGAGCGGTAGCAAAGCGGTATTTGAAGCTAAAAAGCGGTATATCTACCGCTAAGCGGTAGACCTGGCAACACTGGCTGAAACATAGAACAATTAATTTATTTTTTTCGTATACGTGGTGTAGATGTCAGATGATTGTTCCTTGCAGCATGTATAACGAAAAGAATGGATTGAATCGAGATTTAAGTTCATGTACGTTGATGGGCACAATGCCTAGTTGAGATTGAACAGCAAGCGTCAAGCAGTGGAACGGCAACCAATCAGCGAGGTGATAAAAATCACCTTTCCGCTGCTTGACGCTTGCTGTCCAATCTGAACTAGACATTGTGCCCACCAACATAGACGAACTTAAATCTCGGTTCAACTCATTCTTCAGTTTTTTCTAATTTTTAGACTAGAGAGATGAAGAACCGAGATTAAAAATAATAGCATTTTTCACTAGTAGAGCTAGTGCCCACTCAGCGCACTTTAATACTGTTTTACACAAATTGATGTAGAGATGTATTAATACAAATATTATAGTTAAACAGTAGGCATTTTATCAACTCACTTTAACGTACAGATTAGACTAGTGTATAACAGCTTTAACATGCATTGAGTACGCACTAGGTTTGCCTGTGAAAAACGCTATAATATAGGTTGATTGAAAAAAATTAAAAATTTTTTTACTTACGTCTCGATGGAAATTTGTCGGGTAGCAATGGCGGATTTTTCGTAGGTTGCGGTTGTTGCTTTGCAGCAGCAACTTTCTCTTGCGCAGCGTCCGCTGCCGGCGATGACGCCGATGACACCGAAGATCCGGATGGTTTTTCTATGTCGGGTAGCAATGGCGCCGATGATGGCGGGTTTTTCGTAGGTTGCGGTTGTTGCTTTGCAGCAGCAACTTTCTCTTTCGCAGCGTCCGCTGCCGGCGATGACGCCGATGACACCGAACATCCGGATGATTTTTTTACAAGTTGCTGCTGCAAAGCAGCAACCGCTTGTAATGGTTCGACGGATAGAGCAGACTGCTGCTTATTTGCAGCAGAAAGTTCGGCTTCTGGCGCCATTTCTGCTAACGCCAAATTTTGTGCTTCGTCGTCCCTGAAAAAAAATATTAACATTTTTCATATGAGACATATGAGAAAATTATTACCACTTTCGACGAAAGTAGTATATACTTACATATCTTTATTATTATTAGACATTATAATAATATCTACGGCACTCCGTCGACCGTCACAATCGTACATCGGAAGTCGGAATGGTGCAAGGATGCAACCAAAGAATAGTGACTAACTAGAACCGACACCTAGCCTCCATATTGGTCCCAGCATTAAATAGAAAGCGTTGCAACTTTTCTGTGACCAACGTATGTAGTACATACATACATACTTCTGTGAATTTATTTGAGAAAATAAAGCTGTAAAATATACGTAATAAATAATTTTTTATTCTGTTAATTTATTTTTTAGCAAAGGAATATGTATGAACACATATTTAGGCCGGTATTCATAGTCGGTTCTTATTTCAAGACTGCTTTAGGCCGGAATCAGACTACGCATTGAAAATTGAGATTGAAGATTGAAAGATTGAATTTTGGCTAATCAAAATAATAGGAGCTATAATTTCTTTATCTTCATTGGTCCAATTTTAATTTTCAATCTTCAATCTGAATTTTCATTGCGTAGTCTGATTCCGGCCTTAAGTAATGTCTTTAGATGCTAAAGCAGCCCTCTGGCCGGTATTCATAGGCCCGTATTCATAGTCGGTTCTTATTTCAAGACTGTCTTAGGCCCGAGCTACATCTATCGTAATCGTTATCGTAAGCTCCTTACGATTCTTACGATAGCCAATTAGAAACGTCGATGTGTATTGTAAAGCTTTTGATTGGCTGTCGTAAGGATCGTAAGAAGCTTACGTTAAACATTACGATAGATGTAGCTCGGGCCTTAAGGGCTGCCGCACATACCTTCCGTAACAGTCAGGGTGCCGTCCCATGGCACGGAAAACGGAATCGGAACACGGAATCGGAAAAGTGAAATGGTAGGGGCAACCAATCAGCATCGTTCCGTTCCGATTTTAAGTAGCCTGGCTCCCCATGGGGCATAATTTTCGGAAACGGAAATTTTTCGTACTCTGTCGATCGCTAGCGATCACAAGAAATTAGGTTAAGAATAATAACTTGAAACCTACGGATGGAGGAAGAAGAAGGTTAAGAGTACTGAAAAAGTAGAGAATATCATCTGTATAAGTATTGTAATTATATGTTTGCTAATTATTATTACTAGTTTTATTATTCTTGAGCCATAATATATTAAATATTTTTTATATGATTTTTGAAGGAAAAGTTGAAAGCGATAACAGCACGATTACTTCTAATGAAAAATATAATAAAGTCGCAAAGTACTCCACAGTTATCTTAATAATAATATTAACATAATAATATTATTGAATATTATGGATATTTGGGATATTGTACATATAATGTTAGGTTAAAAATATATGCAAGGCCATCACCATAATCTAATATAAAATAACTTAGCAAACATATAATTACAATACTTACACATGACATTTTCTATTTAAATTTTTCAGTACTCAAAACCTTCTTCTTCTTCCTCCATCCGTAGGTTTCAGGTTAACCTAATTGCTAGTGATCGCCAGCGACAGACAGAGTACGAAAAATTTCCGTTTCCGAAAAATATGCCCCATGGGGAGCCAGGCTACTTAAAATCGGAACGGAACGATGCTGATTGGTTACCTCTACCACTTCACTTTTCCAATTCCGTGTTCCGATTCCGTTTTCCGTGCCATGGGACGGCACCCTCAATGTTCCGTTACTGTTCCGTTCCGTTATTTCTGACTCCATGTGACTGCACCCTTAGTGTAATATGGATTTACTGATTGTTGAAATTTTAGTGCATAACAGTGCATTGTAAGTACAGATGATAGTTCAAAAGATGAGTACATATGCAATAACCTCAAATATCATAAGTGTTTCAAGTATTCTTGAAAGATTACTTTGTTGGAGTGAACGTGGATATCGAAAATGTGCTCTGTAGCACCAAGCAGCACTTAGAATACTAGATTTATAAAAGAAGCGCGATCGGTTTTATGTCAGTACCTAGAGTATTAAGCGGGGAGCACAGACTTTTGCATAACGCATAAACCATGTACATAAAGAATTTGATTGTTCCATTGACTCATGCATAAGAAAATGGGCCAATGAAATTCCTTATGCACATGCTTTATGCGTTATGCAAAAGTATGTGCTTCCCGCTTTAGGCGAGAAACACACACTTTTGCATAACGCATAAACCATATACATAAAGAATTGGTTGGTTGATTGACTCATGCATAAGAAAATGGGCCAATGTAATTCCTTATGCACATGCTTTATGCGTTATGCAAAAGTATATCTATTAAGCCTATCGCACATGAAATACATAATAGAGCATGAGCATAACATAAAGCTGTTGGACCAATAAGCATCCAACATAAAGTTGCCATATTGATTAACATAAGATGCTCATTGGTCCAGCGACCTTGTGTTATGCTTATTATCACAAATTTGTTGCCACAGCCAATCCGATGTGTCAATTTAAACAATTGCTCACGATGCTTACGATGCTACGATACGACCAATGCAGACTGGGCTTTATGCCAGTTCTACATTAGTTGCAAGCCGATCGCAAGTTTGTTGCGACAGCCAATCTGAAACATTGATTTCAAAATGCAAGCTTGAGGTTGGCTGTCGCAATGAACTTGCGATCGACTTGCAACTAATGTAGAATCAGCTTTATACACAAATCTAGCCCCACCACCACTGTCAGCAATCCATTCTAGATGTCGATGGTCTTGAGGCATCACAAATCAATCAGAAGGCCGCATTAGCGTATTAAAATGTTACCATCGACTTCTAGAATGGACCGCTGATGGTAATGGTGGAAGTAGAAAGACGAGTAGAGTGAGAGGCAGAAATAATATGATTGTTCTTTCTCTGTTTACTGAAGCCTGATTGGTTGTTGGATTCTACCTCGCACTCTACTCGTCTTTCTACCCCCACTACTACTATCAGCAGTACATTCTAGATGTCGATGAACGTTACCTAAGATTGCGCCTTAGCCCGGATAAACAATACAGTTTTAAGTCTTAAGCCATAAGAAATGAACGAATCATAGTCGATTATTCTCCTTGAATTCAACTATAATTAGTTAATTTCTTACGGCTTAAGGCTTAAAACACCTATTGTAGATCCGGGATAAGACGTTACCTAAGAATGGAAACCTAGGACTCTAGCAGCACCTAAGTATGCATGAAAACCAAACTGGAAAAAGTATGGAATTACAAATAGCTTAAATTTACAAAAACTATAAGCACAGAAAGTAAATGCATCCTTTGGCACTATCAACAGTCAATTTCTAAAACGAATTTGTCTCAGCGGCGAACAAACGGTGAACACATAGACACCTATTTCCTCGACGCACATTGGGCCAGAGGACATAAATAAGTGGCAAAAAATAAAAAGGTCCTAAAATTCGGCTGCAATTGCACATTTGGGGGGGGGGGGGGTTGGAGTGGCTGAAACCGAAACTGTGATAAAATTGCAAAACCCAAAATGGCGGATTCAATATGACGAATAATATTTTGAAAATGTTTGAAATGTTTGTAATTGAATAAAAAATTATTGAATTTTTATGAAACTTTTG